TATGTTTTCCTTTATCAAAAAGTCCTTCAGCAAAAAAAAAAAAAACGAAATATCTGACATCATTGCCACTGTGTTTCCAGAGAAGAAAAAAAAATTTTTTTTTTAAAGGCAGCCAAACAAAAAAAAAAAGCCTTTGGTTCTTGTTCACATGCTAAGTGTGGACATTAACCTTGAGAAGTTAGTTTTATGCTCAGCTACAAATATACTAATATACATTTCACACCATGAGATGGATCCTTGTCAGCTGTCACCAATACAGTCCATGCAGAGCGAGAATCTAGAATGCATTTTACTAAGCACAACAGATACTGCTCTTACTCATGTGAGTGAGGCTGAGCTTTCATTTTTGAAAGAACATTACTGAAAAGAGCATGAAACAGGCCTCCTTGGGCCCAGTGGCAGGGTGCTGTATGCATCCAACTCCAGTAAATAACTGGTGACCAAAACTGCTCAGCTCTACATCTGGTCAGGAAAAAGAAACACGAAGGTGAACTGCCAAGAGGAAGAGCAAGACACTGTGGGATCATCACAGCCAGGACAATTGCTTTGTTCTGACTTTGTGTGACATCTTCTGCAACTGAAGCTTCCGAGTGCAACCACAATAGCAACCGCAGGCAGTGCAGGGTTTGGAATACAAGTTCCTCAGAGAAAGGGTGGGAGGGAGCACATCAGCATTTACTGCACAATTGACTTTAAACAAGAGATTACTGCTCAGTTCCATCTGCAGATTGAGTGGGCTGATGACTTACCTCATACAGAGGCGTAGAGCCAAGCAAAGAAAGAATTGAATGTGTATGTTGCTGAGACTTGAAAAACTGAAATCCTGTACACTAGCAACAGCAGGGATTTATGCAGACATTTTTCACACGTACTTCAAGATACTCATTTCTGCTATACTAATAACAGATGCTGACAATTCCCATTCTTCAGCAGCTTAGAGAGATCTTTTCATTTGAAGTTTTTTGTTTGTTTGTTTGTTTTTTACAAAAGAGGCAGCATTTGTCCTGGTCAAACATTTCCCTCCAACAACCACTGTACAGAGAGCAAGGTATATTTCTATTGTTGTATAGATACAGCACATCAAACCCCCCAGGCTCGGAGAATGAAGGGTGCTGTATGCTGCAAGAGTCTCTTTTCTCTCCATGTTTTTTTTAATGTTCTTTGTATTAATGGAAATAAAAGCTACAGACTGGTAGTCCTTTGTTAAAGACAGATCTCTGAGTTTCGTTTACCAGCTACAGTGTTTAGCCAGAAGAGTGAACACCAATATTTCATTAGGTTTGGAATCTTCATGTATACAGTTAAAGAACATTTTCATTAAGATAAATCTGTGCTATCTGATGTCAAGAGAATTTTATTTTGTATGTGCCACATGCCTCTAAGGGCCTGCAAGCAACACTTCCATGCAAATTTACTCCTCCCCCTATGGCAGCACTGGAGATGAGAGCAGCTCTGGACAGCTGCTCCCTGCACCCGTCCTGAGCTGCTGAGCTTCGTGACTCAGAAAAGAGGTGAAGTGCAGATGGAGAAACCAGGATGGCATCAGCTCTCACTTGGAAAACTTCAACTGCTTTGCCATTCTGGTAGTTCAGAGATTTGAATGTAGTTTCTCATGTTTATTTCAGGCCTGTATTTTCCTGTGTTTTCTGAAAGGTCCAGTAAACAGGAGCAGATGATGCTTCATTTGAAATGAGCGAGAGCACTCAGCCTTTGATTCACATTACCCCACATTGGGGTAGGGATCACATACTCCCCTGTGCATGTAAAATACCACTTGAAAAGACCTTGCCTAGGGTTCTTCAGTATCACCAGAAACAAAGTGGAACAAAGTGAGAGATTTATGAATAGCCACATATATATTCTTGAAGATAGTTCTAGAGGGGAAGAACAGAAAAGATACTGCAACTGGAAATAAAATTAGTTGTTTCACTTCAACTATGAGTAAGCCCAAAGGAACACGATGCATAAAATGAGATTGAGAGGATGCATCTTAGCAATCCTTTCCCACATTACAAATCAAAAATCGCTGCAACACCTATGGCAATGCTCAGCAGCAGAAGGTCTCCAGGCAGCAGAAATTCGACCTTGTTGAGGGTCAGTGAGCCGGGGACACGGCAACCTGCAGCTACCCAGAAGCAAAACGGTCGTTAGCCACAGCAGGCAGAAGGGCTGGCACTGACATCCACCCTGGCCACTCACAGCAGCCTTGTGCTGAGACATGGGAGCGCCTGCAAGCTCTACATGTTATCATAACTGAGCACAGCAGCCATTTCTCATCACAGCTGCTACTCCAAGCCGTGCACAAGGACCAAGTCAGTGTTCATTATGTAGCCCTCCTGAAATCCCTCAGAGAGCAAATCACACCCAGGGTTCAGAGAAGCCCAAGCTATCATCTTTCATCCAAGCTCATCAGTGTAAACATACCCTGCGGCTTTCCCAGAAGACTGATGACCCCTCATAGCAGCCTAGACACTCTGCAGGCTACTTTTTCACCTTCTTTTGTTTTCACAGCCCTGAAAAGGCAATGCCTAACACAAAAACTGTCCTTTGGGCCTGACCAGTTTTTCCCGGCACACAGCCCTCAGGTAGGAGACCCCCTTGTGCCAGAAAGTCCTGGCTGCAGACCTGCACACCCCTCAATTCCTGCTCCCCGATCCCACAGGGGCACAGAGGCAGGCACACAGCCAAGGCCCCTCCCACCTGCTGCCAAAAAATACCCACCTTCCTCTGGAATGTTTTGCAGACATCAGCGAGAGCTTCATTGGTTTCAGCTACCAAAGCACCAAAGACTTGCACAACACTTCGAGACCTCTTACAACAAACAAAATGCTTAAACTCTTCCCCTTACCACACTTCTAGGAAAATGTGTTGCAAAGAACAAACTACAGGAGAAGTATGTGAATCATGCAGTACAGTAGGAGAGGTTCTTCCAAAACTCACGTGCAGCACTTGCAGAAGTTATTATATCTCACTGGTAATGCAGATTCCTTTCCCTTCAGGGAAACTAACCAGTTCCTTCTAAGAATATCTGAAAAAGTATCTCTGACTTGTTCAAAGACCCAAAGCCACTAGTTATGATCATCCAAGGAAGATCTCTGTTAAAGGAAGTAGGATGCAAAAGTACAGGAAGACAAAAGAATTGGAATCTTACAGTGCTCACTGAGCCCATTTTGTCTTCATTCCTTACAAACCAGGAAGATACAGCTGTTCAGAGAGACAATATTATTTAATAGACTCCTTGTGATGAAGTTCTGTATCACATGTTTTACTAAAGGCCATTATTTCCCCATGCAAACCTGACCTTGCTCATCATCAGCTTTACTACCTGTAAAGTAACAACCTGAAATACAGACGTTGTCATATCGTGTGTTGGTTGAGCCAGACCAGTTAGTCCTAATGAACTGGATCTTCTGGTGTGCATTATCAAAGACCTGAAGGTCACAGATAGATTACAGATATATTGATAGAGTTGATGTTGCAGCACATGATATACTCTTCATTTTCTGCACATATCACAAGTGTAGCTAGCATTATTATAATGATGTATATGTGTAAAACAAGGAAAAAAATTCCTCTCTAGCTTCCTCTTTGCAAAACCACGTCTACCCCCCTTCACATGTGTATTTCTGTATCTGCTGTAACCTCGCTATTTCTCTTCTCATTACAAAAAGCAGTAAAACAGCACACTTTCCTGCACAACCTACTCTAGGTTACAACCTAGCTAGGTTTAGCACAAGGTTGGACTGGATGATCTCCAGAGGTCCATTCCAACCCTGACTCTGCAGTAACAGGTTGAGCAGAAATGTAAACTGCAAGCAAAACCAAGAAAAACACTCAAAGCCTCACAAATACTGTGAGGTATAACATGATGGAAAAGCCTTCCATGACATAGATCACAGCCATGATGAGGCTGATAAAAACAGCAGCATCTTGCAGAGGCAGGTAAAGCAGGCTCAGTTTTCAGACTACAGAAGCCTCATTCCCCACCAACACACAACAGTGCTCTGTTACCTATGCAAATTGCACTCTTTTAAGCCAGGTGCTGCCTCATAATTTCTTTTCAACCTCAGTTCCTCACATCTTATCCAGCACAAGATGCAGGTTCATCACAACCAACTCCTCCAGCCAGTTCTCACTCCTGCCTCTTGTGCCTTTTCACAGGCCTTCTCTCTGCCCTCACACTATAATCCTACAGCCTGAAATCATTTTCAAGTTAGAGAAGCTAATGGTTTTATTCTGCTGTACTTCAAAAAGTTCCAACCTGTGTACAAGCAGTATTCCCACCCAGTATGTGTATTTTAAGTAACTGCTGCAGCCCAAGAACAGATAAAATGTCAATTGTTCAAAATTCACTCGAACAAGCACAACACTTACAAAGCATTCTTTGAAAAACACTGATATTGCTATTGTTTCAAACTACTGAATACTTCCAGAAAACGTAAATCACCACAAGATCCATTCTAGAAGTTCAATTGTAGCTGCACCTACCAATTTCAAAAGTAAACCCTAAAAAGCAAGGTTGAACATTTTCTTGAAGCTTATTCTATAGCTTCCACACAATCCAAGTACATACAATTGCAGAAAAATATTACTCAGTACCATTCCTATTCCCCAACTCCCAAAAACAGAGCTGTCGTTCCTGTAAACAGGAGCAGTAACTAGCTTGGACATTTCCTTTTGTTTCAGTGCTGCAGACAGACACAGGCAGCTGAGCGACCTCCCCCCAGTGCTGGCTGGAGCCAGGGCAGCGAGGAGAGCAATCAGGGGACAAAACGCCAACTTCTCCATCTGCGGGTGGAGTCAGACAGCTGCTGTTCTCCCAGCTCTGCTCCGCCTGGTTGTTCCTCCCTAGATTCCTGTTTCGGTCCAATCCTGCTTTGTAGCTCCAAATGCTAAAACAAACCTTTGGATGTATGACAAAGGTACACCCATACATGTCTCTGAAACAATCTCAAAAGCCAACTGGCTACCAGAAAGTGATCAGTAGTAAATCCACTTACCATGTAGCAGCTCAACTTGCTGTACTGTTTATCCCATCCCTCTCATGAACAGAAGATCAGCCGGGAGAAGCACACTGAGCACTAACAGAGCTTTCTCAAAAGCTTATGTCAATTTTTCCCCGGCTTTTCTCTTCAAGGAAAAAATAAAATAAAATGTTACATGCATTCCTAAGATCCTTTTCCACTCACTTGGCAAGGCTTTTGTTCTTTCTAGAGGTCCAAGTTCAAGCAAAGGAAGGCCAGAACAACCAGCAGTGTGTGTGGGTGCATCCCCTGAGCATTGCAGCAGAGGCGCGTGCTGTTCCCTCTCCTCGCTCGGTACTTCAGAATCAGTCACCAAGTTCCCATGGAGTCATTTACACAGAAGAAACTCTCTGAAAAAAAGAGAGATGATCCCTGAAAAGGCCTCCACTCAGAAGAAAAGCCGTTCTCTTCAAGGCTCAGACACCACACAGCTTTGTGCGCTGTATGGGAATTGAGAGACCACGTAGTCTTCAGTACAACAGATGCCATTTCGAGCAGCAGTTCCTCAGAGCCCTTGTGTCGGCACAAGCAGGAGAGTGAGGAAGCCCAGCAGAGCAGAGCAGCAGCACAAGGTACGTTGCCCTGCACCACTCTACTACAAAGGGCAGCCTTCTTTGGAGAGCTGCCCCTGGAATCACTGCAACTGGAGGCAGGGAGTCCACATTGCACTGCTGCCTTGAACAGCCTCTTCTGCACAGGATGCAAAATTAAACCACCACACTTGCTCAGCAAGCACTGCGCTGGCACAGACGTGCTCCTTCACAGTCACCTCCAAAAAACTTCCATCCATCTGGAGGTAGGAATGAGGATCCTCTGTGGGCTCAATCTCGCTTGCCAAGAAGGATCTGGTTCACACTTTACCTGCAAAATACAGAGATATTTATCACAGGTGAGAACATGCTTCGTGTCCACAGAAACGAACATTCATAAAAGAAAAAAAATGTTTAAACTCCTGGTACTTTTTTATCAGCTGTCCAAAGGATGTCGTTTGTTCTGAAACAGGGCAGCATATCAAGAGTAATTTCAACCTCTTTAAAACATAATCAAGCAAGACAATAAATAGCAGCTTTTATTTATTTTTTAATAGATTCAGGAAATAACTCCTTAGAGCAAGACTGATGTTCTGCTGTCACCTAGAGGGAGAGGATGGAATCATCCTGGGTACTATTCCACGTGGAAATACTTTACCAAAGAACTAGAGCCTGCACTGGTGCTACTGGACCCTTAAGGAAGCTGTAATTCTTCAAAGACTCAATAGCATTTATCTCAACATTCTGTCAGGATTCAGCCTCCAGCAATTGCTTTTCTCCACCTTAACCCTCTCTAGAGGCAACAAATCCCTCCAGAGAGTTGATGAAGGAAAGGAGGGACTTCAGTCTGACTAAGTGCAACTGTAGCTTCAGTTTCTAGAGTCACAGAAAAATAGACGTCCTTTGTGTTGCTGTTCACCCAACTCTTTGTTTTGTATTGAGGTGCTCATCTGTTTTCAGTTCAGTAAGTAGAAGTGATGAGGATTATCAGTAGGGACAGTCCCTGTCCCACACTGCCTTTCAGCAGTGTATCTGCTCTTTACCTTTTCGTGTACCATTATGACCAGGAAGAGATTTGCCAATCTGACCGAGTAGAAAAGAACCACGGACTTCTAAAGATCAAGAAGGGGACTGCTCTCTGGGAAAATCAAAACTGGTAAATCAGTCTAAAAGAACAGTAAGATTTCTCTGTTTCCAAAATCTATCAATTCAAGATCAGAGCACATTCATTGCACTTAGACTTTGCTGCCTCTACTGACCAAAATAAAACCTTGAAAGTCACAGAAACAGCATGCCATGGACAAGCATCATGCCATGGACAAGGAGTCATTCTGCTGCTCGCTGTGCACCACATAGCTGTGCTTGCCAGGGTGGAAGGAGCACCAAAGGAGAGTCCACTGCATTGATGGTGGAGAAAGCAGTTGTGTTCCTCATCCTCCTTCCCACCTATCCACACCTTGTTGTCTGTCCCACTCCCGCATGGATCCCCAGGCATCCCTAAAGGGCTGAGCTTCGTTCTCAGTATGCCACTAACTGAACACCCCTCCTCTGTACAGCTCAATATACACACAGTGTAACGCTCCTACCACATTCAGTCAAAACTGGTGACAGGTCCAAGTCCCACCTGAAGGACAGAGTACTTCTTCAAAAAAATAAGTGGAAAAAAAAATATAAGACCAGGATTATGTGTATACATGTTTACTGTATGATTTATCATCACCTTCCTCACCACTCCCTGGAAATTCTGGAGAACAGAACAGTCAGAAATGACGATAAGAGAGAAAGAAGAACAAGATAATGTGCAGGCATCCCCTGATCTAAATCCAGCTCTCAAACAAGTCTGGAAAGCTTCTGTACATGCCGGCTCTAAGCACAGCCTAACACAAACACTGACCCTTGGGCCTGACCAGTTTTATTCATCCACCTCAGATCCTACCCTCACATGTAACAACTGCATTAAATACACACTAACAATTTATATAACTCAGACCAAGTACAACTTCTACCAGATGTGAAACCAAACACAAAGAGACAGATCTCAATAGTGTCAGCCTACAATTACTGAGGCAAGTGCTGATGAACCTAAGACAAACCCAGGCATGCTGGCAGCAGTTAGCGGGAATCCTAGCGCAAAACTCAAAATTAGCCATAAACCCAGTCCAAACCCCAGGAAAACTAAATAGGAGTTCTTGTGGGTAATCTCCTGAAGAGCATGGAGATCCTAAACCTACTCATCAGATCCTCCCAGTCCCTCCATCTGCACCTGCTCACAAGTCCATCCTACTTCAAACTTTAGCCTTCACTCCAATAGGAGACTAAACTTTAACAGCAAAGTTTTATGTTTAGTCAGCTCAGATAAATCTTCCACAAACAATACTAAATCACAAGTTTAACGATGTAATGCAACTGAAAGCACAGCAATGACAGCATAGTAACAAAGTCCTAGGCTGCAGCAAGTGGGGATATGCTCAAATGCAACAGCTGTAGGCACAGAAACAAAAGAGTCTGCTTACTCTTGGAAAGCGTCAGATACACAGGAATCTCCAGTGAGATGCCCTCAGTTCTACTGCCAACCCTTAAATGAGGTCTGGGAAGGGGTGGATCCTGACTCCAGTCCTTCCAATCACTCAGATACATTGCATGCACCTGAGCTCCCCTGGTTTGGCCCTGCCTTCCCACCAGGTGCTCAATCACTGGTTCAGGCTGTGATTTAGCACTTCTACTATAATGGGCATCTACGAAATGTCTATACACAGCCCACTGTCTGGACCAACTTTAACAACCTTTACGCAAGCCCAACAACTCCACAGTCACACATACCAGCGCTCACTAAGCCCTCAATCCTAGCACTGCTCTGAAGACCAGCTCTAGAGAAGCAACCCTGCCAAACCAAAATTGCCTGTAAGATGGAAGCCAATGACCACAGAAACCCTAAACTTAGATCAGCAGCTTGCTTCATACCCAGTAAAAACACAAGTTCTCCAGCCTGCAATGGAGCAAGCAGCAAGCCTCAACCCTAAGTTACCTTTAATATTGAGAGGCTTTTGTTTTAACCAAACACAGTTACATATAACAAGGTGACTGTGAGAGCGAGTTTCAGCCATTATTTCCTCTAGAATCCTGAGGAAAAAACACCCAATCACCGCCATGGCTCCTAACCCTAGTGCCGTAAGTGCAGTGCTGAGCACTGTGCTCACTGCTAGCAGTGTTTCCTACCAGAAAACCATACTGTATGTGCCATACTGTAGCATTACTCAACCCAAAGCCCAGTCTAGCACACGAGAAAAAACACCTGCCCAAATGTATTCCACTCACTGTGTGCGCAAAGGAAACTAAGAGCCTGGCCTGGAGGCTGCAATGCGACCAGCTGCAGCTCTACACACAGCTCAGCACTTCTCAACTCCTCCTGCTGAGTAACAGTGCTCTATCATGGCGGTAGCGTTAAGCCAGGTTTTAGCGCTGCTGCTATCACAGCTGGCAGCACCACACTATGCGTTAGAGACCCCGACCACCCCGGGCATTTAGGATTGCTCTGTGCTGACGATACTGAAAGCGATACTGACCCAGGCCAGGACTATCGCTATGGCACACCCTCTGCCCACGGCCTGGATACGTCTCTGCTCTTATACTGCCTTCTTAGCCATCAGAAAAGGAACACGAAAAGACAAACACCAGCCACCCGCAGGCAACTCCACCACACAGCCAACTGCAAGGCAGCCAGGACCCCGCGCGGCCCGCTCTAGAAGCACCAGAACGCCTTTAGGTGTCCGCGCAGCTCGCCTGCAGGGCGGGAATTCCTGGCTCCCAGCGTGCAGGCGCGGCGCGGCCACCCATCGGCGTGACGTCACGCGCTGCGCCGGCCGGCAGGACCCGGGCGCGCCCAGCGGGTTGTGGCGGCGTCTTCTGGAAGGTTCGCGGCTCCGTGAGCGGGGTTCATCCGCTTCCATCTGCCGTCACTGGGCATCTGTCGGCGGCGAGCGGCAATGCCGGAGAACGCGGGACCCAAAACCCACGGCGGCGCTGGCAATCGGGCCAAGGGCACGTACCAGGACCGGGACAAGCCCTCGCAGATCCGCTTCAGCAACATCTCCGCCGGCAAAGGTGAGGTGAGGGCCGGCGGGGCTCCGGCGCTGCGTGCGGGAGCGTTCCGGGCCGCTCTCGGGGCCGTGGCGCTCGGGGAGAAAGGCGCGGGGTGGGGGCTGCAGGAGGTTGCGCTGGGCGGGCGGTGCGAGCCCTCGGCGGGTTACGGCACGAGCTGTTTGCTCCTGCCGCGGTAAAGCGGGAGGTTGTACCCGCTTCAGAGAAAAGCTGCGAAATGGGCGTGTTTTATTATTACCGTGTTGCTGCTGAGAATGACTCCATGGTGGTAAAACGGGGCGGGGGCTGCTTCGGAGTGGGAGACGCTGCTCAGAATCGAGTACGAGTGGCTGTAGCTCTTGAGATCAGCTTGTGAGTGCTGTTCTTCTCTTTCCAGCTGTCGCTGATGCTATCAGAACAAGCCTTGGACCAAAAGGAATGGATAAAATGGTAAACCTTTTGCTGAACATATGAAGACAGTGAGATTGCTGAAGAGACTGCAATGTCTTATGTAAATCAAGTCAACGTGCTCTTCTGTCTTAAGCTGCTTTTCCAGATGTAAAATACTTCTTGTTTTTATGATCTAATATTATTTGTAGTAAAGCGTACATTAAATACTTACCTAAGTTTTTCTGACAGGGTTATTTGTCACTGTCTGATACTGAACATCAAGATAAACGTTTGTAGTTCCAATCAGTGTTGTTTCTTCTTTTCCCTCTCAGATTCAGGATGCTAAAGGAGATGTGACAATCACTAACGATGGTGCTACTATCCTGAAACAAATGCAGGTTTTGCACCCTGCAGCCAAAATGGTAAAGTCTTCTTTCATTGCTTGCACAGTGATACTTGGTACAGGTTCATTTCTGGGATAAAAGAACACTGATTGTAATGTCTCATGTGGATTCAACAAGTGTAACTCATTAGTGATAAAGCAAGAGACTTTCTGCTGAGTGATGCAGTCCTACTCACATTGATTGTAAGATGTTAAAGAATTCCAGGTCTTTGTTTCTTACTGCTTAGAATTATTTTTTTCTGGATATCTATGAAGATACAAAAGATTTTAGCCCAAATCTTCTATCTGAAAAAGAAAAGGTGGTGATTTCTCAAACCAGTAGGACAAAAGAGAGTCAAAGAATAAAATAAATGACATTTATGGTCTGATGGCCCTAGGATACAATAGTCCAGTCTTGTGAGAAATTGAATGTAGCCCTCTTTGATTTGGTTGAGATGGAAGTGAGCATTCTGGGACCCTTCTGAAGGAAAGGGGAAAGATTCACTTGTTAGATAGGGGAGATCAGCTCCCTCTTAGCTTGGGAGAAAAGCTGCTTGATTTCTGTGGCTTTTATTTTGTTGGAGGCTTTTGTTATCGCTTCAGCCAGCAGATGAGAAGCTGCGAATTAGAAAAGATAAGTCCTGGTACTGTGGGTACTTTGGTAGTCCTGTGTTCTTTACTACCTTTCTTTTTTTCTTTTTTCTTTTTTTTTTTTGTAATTGTCAGAGTTTTCAGTTAAGTAGCATTATATTTAAACTCTTCTATAACTCATCATTTAGTTGGTAGAGCTGTCAAAAGCACAAGATATTGAAGCTGGGGATGGCACTACATCTGTTGTTGTCATTGCCGGAGCTCTTCTGGATGCCTGTTCCAGACTTCTTCAGAAAGGCAAGCATATTTATTTTACATATAAATATACATATAAGGCCTATTATACATGGAAGTCTTGGCTACAAAAGCTGGTAAGTACCACATACAGCTCTGTGTGTGTTACAAAGCTTAAAGCAGCTGTTAAATGAGAAGATAACATGAAAAGGTAACTTGAGGCTTTGCTCATGTCCCACTTCTGATTAAGATTCTCACTGCTTAGCTTTTATTTTGAGCTGATTGCAGCACCGTCAATACTGAAAATAGTAACTAAATGAGATGGTAAATATTGCCTTATAAAAACTCACCCAGATTATACTTCTTATGGACAGAGAGTTAAGATGATAAACTAAACTTTAAGCGGGTGATTCTGTAGTTGAGTAATAAGACTGGTTTGGGGAGAGGGGGAAAGACCTTTGGTTTGCAAGGATGACCTAACAACCTTCTATATCATTCACAGGAATTCACCCCACCATCATTTCAGAGTCATTCCAGAAAGCTTTGGAGAAAGGTATTGAAGTATTGACCAACATGGCACAGCCAGTTGAACTGAGCGACAGGGAAACCCTGCTGAACAGTGCAACTACTTCACTGAACTCAAAGGTATGGCTGATGTGAACTTGATGTCTCCAGACAAACTGACCCTTCCAGCTTTTCCCAGTTTGTGCTGCTGTTTGCTTACTAAGAATCCTGCACATCTCAAATCTACTTGCTTTTGAGACAGTGGCTGCATTATGTTAAACTGACTTCTTAAAAAGCTATGGCTGATCAAGATTGAGTTGACACACTGAAGCTGAATTTCAATTTGAAACAGTTGGTGATCCCAAACATTAACTGCCAGGTGTAAACTACATACACAAACTTAAGATGAAAACAGTAACAGAAAGAACAGGTGGGTAGGGAGAGCTTTCACCAGCTTTTCATGTAGGCAGTTTTTAATTGTGAGGCAGAAGTTCCTAAAGCAGCATCAAAAAGTGGAGATGAATTGGTTGTTTGTTGAACAAACTTTGATCCTGGAATGCCTGTATTTCAGAGCTCTTGACTTTCCCTAGGGAGGCGATAGCTCTGAAACAAGCAGAAATTGTTCTCTTCTCCCTAAAATTCCTTTGCACTGTACAATCTTTTCTTTACAAGTGCGTTTTCATTCTGGCAGAACTCTCAACAGGATTATTTTAAGAGTTACAGAAATAAAGTCACATTTGTTTCCCAAAGTCCATGAGCTTATTTCTTTCCACCAGTGAAGCTGCTCTTAATGTTTCCATGTAGAGGAAAGGAGATACCATGTTGAGGTACCTGGCTGATGGACAGGGAGGGGAATTTTGTTTTTCCAAAATTATCAAGTCAAACTAAAATACAGTGAGAAACTCCTCCCTGTTGATGGTAAGTGTTAAATCACACATCACTGATTATTATTTTTATTTTTTTTTTCCCCCCTTCCATCATCAAATCTCTTAGGTTGTGTGTCAGTATTCCAGTTTACTTTCTCCCATGAGTGTGGATGCAGTGATGAAGGTGATTGACCCATCTACAGCGAGCAGTGTGGACCTCAGAGATATTAAAATTGTGAAGAAGTTGGGGTAAGAAACAATTTGCAATTATAGGCCTATGTGTTTATGGAATTTGCTTCCCAAAGTACTGGAGTTATGGATTGTTTTTGCTTGCAGAGGAACAATTGATGATTGTGAGCTGGTGGAAGGACTAGTCCTGACTCAGAAGGTGGCAAACACAGGTGTAACTAGAGTGGAAAAAGCCAAAATTGGCCTAATTCAGTTCTGCCTCTCTGCTCCAAAGACAGATGTAAGTTTAACTGGAACTAAAGTGGGAACTTTTGCTGTAGTTCTTGGAAAATGTAAATGTAATGACAAAACACATACCTTGTTTAAGATATAGTAATGTCAGCTCTATTCCACAGCTGTAGTGAAAGCCTGCTAGTAAAGAGCTCATATTACTCATAACTCTTAAATATAAAGAATTTGTAGTTGGCATAAGAAAGAATAGTTCAGAAGTCCAGTACTTCTCCTAAAACAGTTTCTGATGGTACATTTCACTGTAATCTGTTTGTACTTTAAATCACAGGCTATTAAAGAACATACAGAACATATCCTGATGCTTGTAAAACGAGCAGTTGTTCATGATGCTTGATGTTTCTTTTTTAATAGATGGACAACCAAATTGTTGTTTCTGATTACGCTCAAATGGACAGAGTACTGCGTGAAGAGAGAGCTTACATTCTAAACTTAGTTAAGCAAATTAAGAAGGCTGGATGCAATGTGCTGCTGATTCAGAAGTCTATTCTGCGGTACGTCAGTGCTGGTTTGCTTACCTGCTGTGGTCATTTGGGGAACAGCTGGAATGGTCCTGGAAACTGGAAGTCAAACATCAGCAATTGTGTTGATGCAGAGTGACAGATTGTGTCTGTCGCTCACAACCAATGCTAGTGCTGTCACAAATATATTTTGGATTTAATTATTTCCCTGTGAGATAGACTGAAGAACTTCAGCATTACTGCTAATGCAGTTCACCCAGTTATTACAATAAGTTTGGACTGAGTACTCACCTCTTGTTTTTAGGGATGCTCTTAGTGACCTCGCCCTGCACTTTCTGAACAAAATGAAGATCATGGTGGTTAAAGACATAGAAAGAGAAGACATTGAGTTTATATGTAAGGTAAAGTGAATTACATAAATGTTTACTAAAGTAACAGTTGTGTATAAAACAACACCAAAACTGGAGTACCCAGCCAGTGCCAGTTTTTTCACACTTCAACAAATCTCACATTCTGAATGCAATGTAAAGGCAGACAAGATGTTTTACTGAAAGATGCTCCAGTTCTGTTGAGCTGTCCCAGTTTCGGAAAGAGAAGGGATGGATGTAAGAGCAGCAGTTGTTACTGAGTTTTACTGAGGTACATCTGTAGAGCATGCCTGCTGACACTGCAGTTCAGATTAAGTGTACTTAGATTTCTTTTTCTGCTGTTATTTTTGCAGACCATTGGAACTAAGCCTGTTGCTCATATTGACCAGTTTACTCCTGACATGCTGGGCTCTGCTGAGCTGGCAGAAGAAGTCAACTTGAACGGTTCTGGAAAACTAATAAAGGTGAGTGAGCGACAGATTAATTCCTTCTTAACCCTTGCCAATTCTTTTAATAACAACTACTAACTTAAAAGTAAGAACGTAAGTACTAAGAGGCCTTAAAGTACCTGCTTGTCATCCCTGCCTAGCCTCTGGCTTGCGAAGCACGGTGGTTTTGCTCTGCAGACCTCAGTACTGTTACTGAAGTTGCACAGCAGATGAAGGCTTTTCTCTCATTTCTGTTGCTTGGCTCGGTTCTAGATTACGGGCTGTACAAACCCTGGAAAAACAGTGACCATTGTGGTACGTGGATCCAACAAGCTTGTTCTAGAAGAAGCTGAGCGTTCAATTCACGATGCCCTGTGTGTCATTAGATGCTTAGTTAAGAAAAGGTAACGTGTTCATTTGGCTGGAATAATTTAGTATATTAATGTGGAAAGCTCTTTGGCGCTTACATACCTTGAGATTTGACTTCAGTTTCTGTCCCCAGAGCTTTAATTGCGGGAGGTGGAGCACCAGAGATAGAGCTGGCACTGCGCCTCAATGAGTACGCCCGCACGTTGAGGGGCATGGACTCGTACTGCGTGCGTGCCTATGGGGATGCACTGGAAGTCATACCATCTACACTGGCTGAAAACGCAGGTCTCAATCCTATCTCAACAGTAACAGAGCTGAGGAACAGACACGCTCAAGGAGAGAAAACAGCTGGCATTAATGTCAGAAAGGTAATGAGGAAGCTGAATATAGAACTGCGTAGCTTAAATAAATAGGGTATTAAAAGGAAAATATACTGCCTAAGTCTAAAATGCAGAGAACAAAATTCTTACTAGAACTGGTATTGAGAGAAATAACAGCTTGCTGTCTGAGCCTGCAGCAGCTTATCCTGAGTATTGGTAATAGCAGATTCTTCTGCATCCATGACATTCAAGTACCTACAGGTATCTCTTCAAAAGCATTTTTCCTGCTGAAGTCTTTCACAGTGAACTTAAAGACAACAAGTCTGGTTAGAAGGGTTGTGGGGTAGTGTCTGCAGGGGAAGGTGCTCACACATCCAGAGTAGCACAGTGGGATAGCTTTGTGTTTGTGCATTGTCACTACATTTGAACTGATAACAGCTATGTGTGGTTTTTCTCTTGGCTCATTTTGAGTGGATATCTCAAATACTCAGCAGCAGCAGACCTTTACAGTAATATTCCTGTTAGGAACCAAGGAGTGCAAACTAGTTGGTAGTCTAGCTTAGCACAACATCACTTTCAGGATTCTGTTAAATGTAGTTGCACGCTCAATTGCACAAAGTGAAAGCAGCTTTCTGTTGCAGGGTGGCATCTCCAACATCCTGGAGGAGTTGGTAGTCCAGCCACTGCTCGTGTCTGTGAGTGCACTGACTCTGGCAACAGAAACTGTGCGCAGTATTCTTAAGATTGATGATGTGGTGAGTAGTGTTGGTGTTTATTTTTAATAAATGCAAGAATGTGTGGAAACACAGATTACGTGATCACCTATTTCATTGTATTTCCTCCTTACTCTACATGCTATTTATACCATTTGGTTCTCGCATAAGGGCTTAGGAGAAAGTGAAGCTGCTGTTGGTATAAAGCAGTACTTTAAAGCAAGATGTTACAGTGACTAACAATTACTTTTTTGCTTATATATTTAATGTACTTGTGCTGGTGTATTTAATGTGCTTGTATATTTAATGTGTGGACCTCTTACATGTGTTGTGCTCTTGCAGGTGAACACGCGGTAAGCTGAATCAAGGAAGCTGGGACTGTGGTCTGGAGCTCCTCAGCTGTAGTCTGAGCTGCAGCTTCCTCACCAAAAGCGACTGTGTGAATTGTCTTAAAAAGTCCACAAGGCTTATGTACTTTTGTCACGTTAATTTAATACAGTTCCTGGTTTCAAAAAGGAAATGCAGTTTATCAATAAACAGGCACTAGTCTACTTGAGTCTTTGTTTTATGATTCACTAGAAAGTAGATCAACTTCTGTAGTTTGAATTACACTAGCATTTAGATTAGCATTCCATATCACTGACAATTCATACAGCAGCTTACTACAGCCATGCTCCATCTTTTATAATGCCTCAGCCCCCAGCTGTTAGCTGATCTGGGCTTTTCTTCCAGTTACAGTGTGTTCATCCCCCCCTGCCCGCTCCCCTCTAGCTGTTCCACGTGCACGCCAGCCCATGGCGCTATCCGGGCCCAGTGCTCAGCGATGCCTCCTCGGAGAGGTGGCAGACCACTCCCGACCCCAGTGTACCCGTACTCATTAATCCCCCGTTCATCTCGAGCACAAACGCTTTAGAAAGGGAGGTGACCGACGGGCGGAACCAGCCGCGCCCCTTCTCACCGCCACCGCCCCCTCCTCCAGCGTGCTGCGGTACCGGGCCCTGAGGCTCCGGGCCGAGCGGCCCCGCCTCTCCCCGCCCGACGCGGTCCGGCCCCGCCTCTCCACCCTCCGCCGGCGGCGGTGCGCGGCCATGGAGGCTTCGCACGGCACGGGGCCGTTGCCCACCGCCCGCCTCCGCGCTGCCGTGCAGCCGCACTGCCGGCCGCCTGCTGCCCGATCCCAGCGGGGGTCGCCGCACAGCGCGCAGGTACGGAGGGAGCGGCGGGACCGGGCCGGGCGGGTTGCGGAGCAGATGGGCCGGCCGCAGAGCCGTAAGGAGCTTACGCGGAGTAGCTAAGGGCTTCATTTTACAGTGGCTATGGAAACGGGCGGCGGAGAACCGTGGCGGAGGGGGGGCGGTTTAGGCTGTTCTACAGCTGCGTTCTAAGCAAGATAAGGTTTTTTTCCTTCCAAAAAATCCTTTTGGATCTTATTTCCCGATACAAGTATAAGGGCTTACAGGGAAAAACTTTGTTATTTAACTCCCTTTAAACAGCAGTCTCAAGCCATAAATCACTGTGCAGGAAGATTGTTCCATGCAGTGTGCATTAAAGCCTGCACATGGGTAATAGGTATGAAATTCAGCTGTAGTGTTTCATTCATGAGACAATTAAATGAAGCAGCGCTAAAAACCTCATTCCCTTTCCTCGGAGTCAGAGAGCTTGACACTGATCCCTCCTCTGTCCTAGGAGGAGCTGGGTGCAGAGCCGGGCCCTGGCAGCGAGCAGCCCCTCACCCCAGGCTGTGACACACAGATGGGCTGCTCCAAGCTGGGCAGCTCAAACCAGGAGTATTACCTGAAACTGGAAGAGTTGAAGAATGCCCACTTGGAGACAATGGCAAAATTAGAAAGCATGTATCGGAACAAGCTGTATTTACAAGGAGTACAGCCCTTGGAGAGGAACAACGCTAACAGTGCTACTTCCAAGGTCTGCTGTAGGTAAGTTTTGCGGTACCTTTGGTCCTCTGGAGGATCTTTGCAGACAGCGGTAGGCAGGGATGTACTGCAGCTGGGAACTGCTGCTCTCCCCCTTTCCTGTAAATAGATAATTACAAAAGAGTTCCTTCAGTTTTAATAATGCTTATTCACCTTGCTAGTATGCTGTCAGACTAACAAGTGTGCAAACCTCAGAAATATGGTGTGTTCAGTAGAGCACAGTGCCTTGCCTTGTTCTCAGCCTGGATTTCCTTTGTAACAGTGATCTGGTGTCTGTACCATCTGGTGTCTTCTCCTCTTACCCTCCAAGCACTCTTCATCTTTCTCCCTCTAGTGAGGGCAATGAAAACAGATTACTGCCTTTGAATCAATGTTGGAATGGATTCAAGCCTACTTCTCTTTTTCCCCCCTTTCTAAAGGCCAACCTGGGAGAAGAGCGCATATCAGCCTCTAAATTTGCCCAGATCCTTCTCTGACTCCAGCATAAGCGATCCCTTAGGCTCGGCTGTGTCTGGTGGGTCCGACAGAGAACTGTCATCTGAGGACAGCTGTAGTGAAACCGGATCATTACTATTTGCTAAGCAACGGATTGCAAGGATGTGGGATGGCTTCTCAGTGGATGACTACCTTCCTCCCAGGAAGCACAGCCTGCCCACTGCAGCAGCTTCCAGGACAACACGGAAGCAGAAGGCATGGTCACCAAAAATCACTGTGCCCAAGCCCTTCCAGATGACAATTAGAGAAGCCAGAAAAAAAGAACAGAATGTCAAATCCAAGTCACAGATTGAAATGGAAAATAACCTACTGAAGAAGCAGCTGGAGGAAGAAGCAGAGTGTCAGAAAAAGTTCCGAGCCACTCCAGTGCCCGCTGCAGTCTTCCTGCCACTCTACCATGAAATTGTGCAAAGGAATGAGGAGCGCAGGAAGTCTGTGAAGGAGAGGAGCAAACTCAGGCTCTTGGCTTCTCAGAAGCCATTTAAGTTCATTGAAAGAGAGAAGCAAAGGGATGAAATTAGAAGAATGCAATTAAGAGACCTTTCCACACCTGAAAAGAAAACAAAACCATTCAAAGCAAAACCAGTTCCCAGATATGTTTATAGCCCATCGGTTAGAGACAAGCTACAGGAGGAAGAGCTCTACAGAGAAATCCGGATTAGAATGAGAGCTGAGGAGCTGCTGCGAAATGCATCTCTGCCCACCAGCAGGCTGGCTCCCAAGGATGTCAACAAGAAGAAGAAACACAAGTGTGCCGAACCAAAGGAAATGGAGCACAAACCCAAGATCCAACCCAGAGTTCCAGATTTTGACCGACTACACCAGAAGTTTCAGAAACGGCTCCGGCAGAAGCAGCAGGTGAAACATCTCACGGTCTGTGAGCCGTTCCATCTCCGCACTCCGTACATTGCCTCGAACAAGGGGAAGGTTTTGAGAGACATTCAAGAGGATGAAGAAAGGCTAAAAGAAACACGCTGGCCATACGCCTCTCCAAGGCGCAAACCCCAAACCAGACAGTCGAGTGCAAATTCACCTCTCTTGGGATCTGGAGAATCCAAGTCGCCAAGAGTCACACAAGCCTCACAACGAAGGCTGCAGGCCCTAAGGTGACTGCTGCAGTGATATTCTGTGTTCTAGAAATACCTAGAGAGAATTCTTTTGTCCTTCTACAGGTGTAGTTAATTCTTTCATGCGGTGAATATGGGACTTATTATATTCAGTTGTATACTATCGTTAAGTCCTTAGACTAAATGCAGGACTTTACTAATGGATTTTCCTAGAAGCAGTAATGCACATTTCTGCAGACGTCCATAGGAAAGGGAGAAACGGATGCAGTTTCTCAGGATATGTCCTAATCCCTTACAGTGGCACATATTACCCATTTATACCAATCCCATTTTCATCCCCCCTCCCTGTTCCTCCATTTTTAATTTTTTTTTTTTTAATATTTCAAATTTCCTTTGCCAAAGCTTCCTTTGAAACCTTGTGCTTGATTTCAAACAAATTCAGCCTTAGTTTATTTTTCCACCCAGGAATTCACATGAGGAAAAGAGAAGGCTGGAAGAACAACAGAAAAGAAACAGAACAAAGCAGAAACAAAGAACAAAAAAACTGCAGAAAATTGTAATGACTCGGGCTGAGGCCAATGACCCCCATCAGAGCCTCGCTCAGGTCTCTGAATCCAAACTAAAGGCATTCAGGTATTTCATCGCATTCCCTGAATCCTGAACCTCTCTGGCTTCATTGTATGTTAACCATACAATGTTAAAGAAAAAAAACCAGAGTCTGAGTTTATATAGTTACATCCCTGATACACTGCACGAACAGGTCGTTACAAATAAGTGTGGCCAAATCTCAGCTGGGAATTGTTGCCCATTCTAACACCTCTCAGTACATGATTCCCTGCTCCATGTCTGGAACACAAGCACTGAATTGACAATTGAACTGAACAAGAAAATAAGATTAAAAAACAGCACAGAAGAAGGATAGAGGAATTACCAAACATCTTTGCAGGATGAGATTAGCAGGTGTTGGCATGGCTTCGCACAACTTTCTTCTTCCACAGAATCATTTGAGATGGATTTAAGATGGATTTGAGATGGATTCAAGAGCAAACCTCACATCACAGTATCTGATCAGATTTTAGGAGCATAGTAAAACACTTGCAATTAATTATTCTCTGCATATAGTATCACACTATTACAAAGCACAACTACTTCCCTAGTGCTGATGGTTTAAGGATGGCATAAGTGCTCAACTTGACAATGCTTACTGCAGCACAGGCTGGGTAATGAGGTACATGAATGTAAGGGCTCTTCTGGGAGAACAAACAAATAACAGTGAAGTTCACTCCCTCAGAATGGTGACTATCCTGCCTTAATGCACAGCCCTACTGTAGAAACTCAGAGACAATGTGGGAAGAGGTGGGGAAGGCAGAAATGTGAAAGTTAAGAATGTAAGTTAAGAAACTAAACTCAGGCAGCCCCTGTTGGCTTCACGGGGCAGGACAACTTCAGAAATAGCTTTGTCCATCAGCATTCCAAGCAAGCTGATGTTCTGGTGGTGAGGGCCTGGCACAGCTGCCCATACATCTGCTCATACACACCCTGGAGGTGCTCAAGGCCAAGTTGAATGCGGCCCTAAGCAGCCTGAGCTGGGGGAAACAGCCCTGCCCATGGCTGGGGCTGGGTGGGCTTTCAGGCACCTTCCAAATCATTCTATCATTCCATAAAAATGAGACAGTAAACCCAATTCCACCATAAGATAATATATCCTACGCATTTTTAACCAGGACCATACTTGTCATGAGCAATTCAACTTTTCGCTGTAAGAAAGTACTTCTTGTACTGTAGACAACTGATTTCTGTTGTACTGTGTTTACTTTAGGAACTCCTCAAAGCAGAGAATGCAGGAGTATTGGCAAGAGTTGCAAGAAATGGAAGAAAGAGTAAAGCAAAGGCCATTGCTCTTGGAAAGAGTAACTCAGGTTACCTTGTTTGTTTCTTAATCTCATCTCCAATTACTGTATAGGGAACTTTTAGTCAAACGCTGTTAGAAGTTATTTGACTTTATTTAGGCTAGTATTTGTCCATTTTAATTTCTACTGCTCCATCTCCCTATAAATTACTTTTCTGTGTCTAAGCATTCATGGCATGTTTGCACAGGGAAATCAGATGTTTAAGACATCCTCTGGTTCAATTATAATACATGTACATAGCACTGAGTCAAATTTACAGCAAAAATGAGAGGTTTAAATTGGGAGAAAAACTAGAACTCAAGCATTCCTCATGTCTGCTGTAAAGCTGAGACAGAATTTTCATCTCTGTGTCTCCCTGACTGCTTTTGGAATAGAGAGGCAGCAGGACATAGACTGCCCATTCCTCCCAGTTCTCTCATCCCTTCTGGGTGGGTTTCTTGGCCCACTGCAGGGCAGGAGCATGCATGAAGGCTGGAGGACAAGGCCTCCTCACCCAGCTGTTACTCGGAGGAGCAGAGCTTACCGCTCAGCTTCACAGAGAGATTCAGATTCATGCAGTGCGTCAAACAGTGCTGTAAGAGAGTAAATCAATGTCATGTTTCAGAGCAGCAGCTCCCACGGAGAGAAACAGCCCTAGGAAGAACACAGTTGATGTTTCAGGTCTGCATCTTCTCCCCGCTCCCTCAATAGCAGTATACAGTATCCGCAGATCTTTGTTACCAGTGGATGTAGGGAGCAAACTGCATTTGAACCAGTACAGAAAAGGGAGGAAGACCTGCTATAAAGTTCTCAAGTAGTTTTGCCATTCTTAGCTGCAGTGAATAATTTAACTTCTCACATGCAAATAATGAAACAGTATTAATATAAGCAAAAGTATCTGAAGATAGGCATTTAGCTCATACTTAACCCTTGTGTTTTTCCTACAGAGTAATGCCAGAATAGCTGCAGAAAAATATTATTCCAACAGACTGAGAGCTCTGGGGGTATGCCCAGACTTTGTTTCAAAGAAAGGACAAACAACTAACTTGCTAGAGTGCTACACTGCTGAAGATTTTGATGCCAAAGAAAGGTAGAGATCACAGAAGGTTTTTGGTTTTGCCACTGCATACCTAGTAATTAGAGCCATTTTTAATGCCGAGAAAATTATTTGCAGTATTCCCAAGTAAATATTTTAGTGTGTGTGGTTAGCTTTCCTGTACTGTTTTTTCCTGAATTAACTATTTGTTTCGTGAGTCAGAGAAGAGCACTATGTTATACACCATGCACTTCAAAGAACAATTAAGAGTAACATTTTTAATTTGTTCCCTTAACCAAGATTTCAGGAAGGTTGCTAAGAAACCATTTCATTCTGCATTACCTTTACTTTTTTTTTTTTTTTTTAAATACGAGCCTTAAAAAATACTTCTCAATATCCATTTGGTATTATGATAGGAAGGAAATGGAAAAAAAGAAATGTATAAGCAGTACTGCTACTTTCTATCATAAAAGCAGAGTCCAGTGTTCCTTCTTTCCCAGTTTTACCCCAGCCAAGACTGCCAGGATTGGCTGTAGGTTACCTGAGCATGTAATCTTTTAAAACCTACTGGAAAGCATTCCACCTGAGAATACAAATCACATACAAATTGTCTTTACAGAGCCATCAAGAGTATAGTGGAAGAAAGGGAATTATTTGAGGAAGCAGACAGCATCAGTCCTCAATCTGAGCAATCCTTTGAGGAAGAGAAGAGAACAGGCATCAGAACCCCCAGATGGGATGCTGAATCCGCTGAGAGGGAGGAAGAGGAAGAGACACAAGCCAGCCCTCAAGTTCAGCAACCTCACTGTGCAGAGGAGACCAGGTCCAGCCCCACCTCCAACCAGCACTGTGAAGAAGAAGAGCAGAAAGAGGAAAAGGAGGAGGAGGAAGCAAAGGCAGGCGTTCTGCTTGGACATACCCTAGAGGAAGAGAATGAAGAGGAGGAGGATGGGTCAAGACCCAGCTCTCAGACTGATCGGTCCCACGAGCAGCAAGAGGAGAGTCAGTCTGACCATGAAGCCGAGGGTGCTTTCCAATATGAGGATGAGGAATATGAAAGTGATGATTCTGAAGAGAAGCCCAATGATGACGAGGCTGACTGAAGGGAAGGCAGATAGGTTCCACAGCACCAGGCTGCCCTATTTCATTGCTGGCATTGAAATAGACACCAAAACCATGTCTTTTTGCTACCAATATTAAAAACTGTGAATTTAAAACTCTTAGCTTAACAGTCTTTCCAGCACAGAAGCTGTGTTAATTTTCCAATATGAAAGATTAAGTTATTCATTGCTACCAAGAAAAAAAAAAAATCAGGTATTTTACATTCCTCTTCTTTATTCTGGACTTCAGTGACACTCATGCACTTCTGTTCCTAAAATGAACAGCAACCAGCATTTAAAAATGCCTTGTGTGCTGTGTTGTTAAGTACTGAGGTCTCAGCACGTCCAGCAGTAACTTGCTCTTGCCTCCCAGTTTCAAACACTGGGGCCCTTTCAGGTTCTGTTCCTGCAGTATTGTCAAGGATGGCAATGAAGCAACAAAGGTTTGTTGTGCAAGACCTCAGGCTGTGTTTAGTAGAGCAGCTACAAGAAAGACACCCGCAGTCAGACAAAATGGCCAAGTTCACCTGTTTGGCTCCTCTCTCCTGTTCACTCCCACCAGCAAGCTGGATTGGCTCAGCAATAGTCCAGGAGAGCACCAGGGTCAGAAAAGTAGGAGGTGACTGCTTTTGGAAGAAACAAACTGTTACATGGGTCACTGTGAATGTTTTGTGCAGCTAATATAGGAATAATATTACTGTTACTGAAGGCTTGGCACGTAGAGGAGAAAAAAATGCACTAGAATATATTGAGAAACATCATTTTTAGTTTTCACTGAGCTCTAACAATGACAGACAAGTGGGGTAGAATAAAGTCAGTAGAATATCTTGAGGAAAAAAAAGCATCATTCTGCAGATTGCTACCCAACCGAGATAGGAAGTTGTGCTCTTTCACCTGTTTTGATCCGAAGAGCTCTTTTGCAATCATGTAAATCTACCATTAACATAACAAGTGCTGGCATTAACCTTCACACGTCCTTGTAGAGACAGTCAAGGGATACTGTGAAAAGAGAGCCTTATGACTTCACATAAACTCATACCCCTACTCAGGGCTTCAGGTACCACTCCACAAAGAACACAGACTGGTTTGTTTCTGCCCTTGCTATTTATATCCCCAGTAGCTTCTCCTACTCTTAGAGAGCTTTCCTGCTAACCTGTCATAGACAACGTTAGGAAAGAAAACAACAAAACTTCCATAACAAACAGTAGAGAGCAGAGCGTAACGTGGCATCACACAGGCTCTAAATAGTGAGCACAGTATTTGTTGAAGTGATCACACCTGCACAAGCAGCTGCAACAGCCAAGAGTATACATTTGGTGTTTCTGTGTTTGCTCTACTCAGGTTTCCTTCCACACTGTACCTGTTATTATTTATTCCTCCTGACTTTGAGAATCTGTGTCTCACTGTTTAGATTTTCTTTTTAATTTATTTTTCATGTGTGGCATAACTAATACAAATTTGAACCTGTTGTTTTGTCGTCGTTTTTTTGTTTGTTTGTTTTAAACTCAAAATCTCCATCCCACATCTATCTTACTAAAATATTAATCACTGCTTCACAATGAAAATCATAGTTTACAATCTTGACAACCCACAATACAAATGAGGTTTGTTTGCTTGTGGAAGTCATTAGACTTTAGTTCTGAAAAGTCGTACAATAAGTTACTGAGTCAGGTGTTACTGACACACAATCACACACTACTGCTGCAGTCTTTACTGAACCAGTTTTTGAGTTGTCTTGAAAGAAGGCAGAAAAGCTTTAGATTGTGTTTTCTCATACAGAAACTATTTGAAGAATTTTCAAATCCAAGACATTCAAAAGATCATTCAAATTTTTAAAACCTGATAGCACTTAAATTTTGAGTTTTCTAAAGAAAATAACTATATAATCAAGCCATTAGGATAGAGTATAAGAAACATTACCAAAAACCTCCCTTGAACTAGGAGGTAGAAAGAACAACTTTAAGATGAGTAGATTTGAAGAATGCACAGATAAGTGGGATAACAAGAAAGAGTCAAAACAGTTTTGAAGGTCACACCTCGCTTTTCCTAGCATTTCTAAAGCAGCCAAGCAGAACTATGTAATCAAACGTGATCCAGCTGAGATGTTTTACCTAAGTTTCCAAGGTGTACTGAACAATCTGCTATCAATGGATTTTAAGTAAAAATAAATCCCACTACAAAAGAAGAACAGTACTCATGAATTAGTTACTTGAGCCATAGGAAAAGATCAATTTTTCTGCCCGTCACCAGGGTCTGGTGACCAGAGAGGAGGCAAAGAGGCACGAAGAAGGGAGCTTAGGAGCTTCCCAGGGGCACGCTGACCAGACCAAGGAAGAAGCAGCCACCTGGCACCTACTGAAGGCCTGCTCCAGGAGAAGCGTCAGGGGATGCAGAGCCAGAGCATCACAAATAGAAGCCATATGCTTGTAAAGGAGAAGCAGGAATAAATCTACTGATCTAACACAGCAATTTAACGAAGACTTAACGAGATCCAAAATGGCAAAGCACATTACTTACTGCACAGAGAGTAGCATTAAGCACTTATCCAAGAAGCTTTCATGTGGAACCATAAGGTTCGGAGTTGATCTTCTTGCACACTTTCTCAAAGTAGCAATGCAGCTATCTATTTGTATCTAAATCGAACATTTGCAAAATGCCTTTTGAAATAGGATATTATCGTAATAATTCTTATCCACTCTGCTTACAGCAGTGTTACAGTCGGTATTACAGCTGGAAAGGCTATCACAGTGAAAACAGAAAAAGAAACAAACAAGGAAGGAATGCTCACCTCTATTGGAAGATGTAGGTTCACAGAAAAGACTCCACAGAAGAAGGATCTCTAGCAAGAGAACCTTCCCCAGTGGCAGTCAGCCCTTAAATGGGATCTAAGAGAGGTGCAGCCAGGCTCCACTCCTGCTCACACAGCTGAATTGCCTTCACCTGTGCTCCCAGGGCTGACCGATCCTTTCCCCAGGTGCTCAATCAGTGGTTCAGGCCATAACTCAACAGTTCCATACCAGCAAACAATGAAAATCAGCAGTACATTTTCAAAGGACTCACAGCGTAAATTCCAGTTATCACGGGGTTTTCTGTTGAGAATATGCTGTCAAAAGGAAAACAAGACCTATAGCGTACAGAGTAACTATTTTGATTTTGACAGAGAATGATCGGCAGGCATTCCCTGTTAGCTAGTTCTTTAAACCAGAAGTTACAGAGAATATTTGTGTCCAGATTTGTATTCTCTCCCAGATGCCTGCTGGGAAATTCAAATTTTCAATTTCAATAAAAAAACCAATGCAGTGTTCCTCAGACTTCTCTCACACGGAAACACTAGCAGGTGTTTGCAGAAATCATACCTAGGATATTTAATGTACTTTCACGTGTGTATTTGTTGTGAAGACAGAATTGCATGCTAAAGTATGAGCAGCTTATAAGTGTACAGAAGCTGTAAAAAACACATCAAACTGTAAATAACCAAAGCCACGCTAGAATGAGGTGGATCCTGTGCCTTGAAGTCTGTAACACTGACTGACCCTCGTTTGGCATCTTCATAATTTTCACAGCACTCTGAGGTTCCGCACTGATGATGTTTTTCACCTGACCTCACATCACAATACAGTGCAAGGCAAAGAAAGCAGCACCAGCACGGGTGAAAACGGAGAAGAATCTGTAAGACTTCAGCATCTGTGAAGCATTATCACCAGAACAAACAGCTGCAGGCCATTTGATTTTGGGGTTCTCCCCAAAATATCCAGGCTCTACCTGCAGGTCTTTGGCCCGAGGGCAGTCAGCATAGAGCTGGAGATCAGTCATTGCAGGGTCCCTGGAAGAAGAGCTGCTTTATTATAATTAGCAAAAACTGTCCACAGACCTCTTTGATGATCATCTTCTGACTTTAGCCCATAAATCACATGAAAGCGAACACCGGTAAAACTCCCTGCTTTGTGAATCAGGACAGGAAAATGAAGACTGTATGTCTAAATCTGTAGAAAAGGGAACAACAAGCAGAAACTTATCATTCATAACTTTGTCCCTGAATGTTTATATGAAATAAACATGCTTTTTTGTTAATCAGGTCATTTTCAGCATTTTTAGGGGGAGGAAAAAAACAAACAATATTCCTTCCAACTAAGATGTTAATCTATTTCACAAACAGCCAACAAAAACTCACCACAGCACTAGAAACCAAGCAAGCCCCCAAACCACAGGAAAGTTTTTTGCTTACAGCTTGCTATAAGCAAGAAAAAAAAAATGGAATATAGTGAGTATCTAAGTCACGTAATATAACATCACAAATACTTCTCAAGGGAGGCAAGCTCCAGCTTTGTTTAAGCAGGGAGAAAGTGATGGCTGTCAGCCAGAGCAGTGGGGACCTGCTGCTTGGCTCCCTGCGTTCCTTGAATGAATAGACCGTGTGGTCTCCTTGTACTTCTCCAATCAGCTATTATCAGTGAGTTGACCTCAAAATCTTTTAAGGAGCTGTACAGCAAGCATCCTGCTCATGGCAGGTGGCTTGGGAAGATGATAGGACTAAGACAGCCCTAGAGATTGCACTTTATAAAACCTACACAACCTCTACCTCTACAACCTCTGAAAGATATTCCTCCTCACAGACTTTTGTATTCTCTGCCTCAGATTGGTAACTCCCTTGACTTTTAATACCTGAAGGAGAATAACTTCACAGCCTGCCACATCCTGACTCATTTGCTGACAGCTTCCAAAAGCTGTTCTGCCCCTGATTAACTTGACATGAATACAAACAGTTGCACAATGCAGCATAGGGAGCAGCTGCCGACGGATTTTCACGGTCACCATGAAAGATCAAAAGGATTTACTGCATTGCAAAGAGCAAACATTTTAGGGCAGCAACCTGACTTCCAAGCTTCCAAATGACAGACGAATGAGTTGCACTAAGAGGTGTTACTTTTGCTGTGTCATTCATGCACACGTTGCAGTATCTTAGGGGTGCAATATGCAAAGACCAACAGGCACTCAGCTAGCATCATTTGTTTAATAAAGTCTTTTCTGTATTTAAAAAAGTTTACAAGACAGATGTGTTTCGCATGATAAACAACTAGCGCCTGATCTTCCCTTTTAATAACTTAATCCATGCAGAAAGACTAGACTGCCTAACTTGGTGATACACAGCAATTGAACAATATGCCAAAATATACACAGACCTTCATGCTGAGATGGAAACAGATAGCACATGACATCATAGAGCTGCAATCAAAGTACAAGCTTGCTCGAATGACTTTTAGAATTCAAGTGTAAGTTTAAGGAAAAACCCTGATTTATTTTTGAAATGTAGCTTATGTACCAAGAGTGAATGTTCTGCTACAATCTGCCTACAGCCATCCTTCATTCGGCAGTCATGTGAAAACACATACACAGAAATGTTACAAGTCCTTTTTACTACTGGTACTACACATTAACAACTGAATCTGATAGCATTGCTTTGGTTGTTTCAATACAGAATGATGTAATTTTCTATTGTCTTAGCTCTGCTTTTCCATTTTTATCCAAAGTCCTCAAAGAGTGGTGTTGAGGTGAATGTCTTTTAGGTCTCTCCTCAAGGATCCAGTGCAGCTTTTGTGTGAGAAACTGTGGAAGGCAAAAAACAGAAACATGACTGAAGACTCAGCATAAAAGTACAGGATTCCTTCTACCTACATAGAGAAAAGTATCTTGATTCACTGTCACAGCACATAATTTAATGCTATGTTATAACATTTTAGGAATGTTCAGCAATCTGGATTTTCAAATGCTATTGGAAAGCTCAGCCAGATTAGAGTGCTCTAGAGTGCAAATCCCTGCCCTCTAAAATGTTCCTCTATCAACATAAAACCCAGAAACAGGAGGTGAAAGCTTGTATTCCTGTAGCACAGCTGTAAGGCCAACAGCTGCTGAGAAACAGTACATTTTTGCTTAATTTCTTAAGAAAATTTTCTCCTTTCCAACGTGACTATCATCTCCACTATTGAAACAGGTGAACTGAGCATAAAGCCCAAGAGAGCAGAACTCATGTGATTTCAGTTATGGTATTTACATGACAATCCAGTATTATCTGCCATCTAATGAACGGAACCATTTCACACCACTCTTTAAGCTGTTCTCCATGAGGCCAGAGGAAAAAACAAAAATAAAATTCTGGATTTGAAAGTTTCTTTGATTCTTTTTCCAGGTCAATCCAAAACAACAGTGTATTTCCAGAAATCTACTCAACATGCCTTATTCAAATTAATTCAAATTACTATCGTACAGGTAATAATATGGACTTCTATAAAGCAGACATCACGCCTCAGTCTTACCCCTCCAGAAATTTGAGAAGAAGGGAGAGGGCAGGGGAGAGGAAAGATCTGAGTGATGTGTGATATTGAAGAGTATAAAACATGCACCCTAGGGATAGGAAAATGAGGGAAAGGCTAGATCTAAACTTTGCAGTGTTGTTCCCACTTAAACTGCCAAGTGAGGGCTCCATTGTGCAGATGAGGGAAATAATGCTTTCCTGGGTTCTTGGAAGCTCAAAATCAGCAACACAGCACATTTATTTAGGAAAAACAAAGATAAAAATAATTAAGAAAAGGAAAGCTGCAGCTTCCAGTTCTGGCCTCTTTCCTATTTTCCACCTTCATTATTGGAGATTATTTATTTATTAGGGTATTACAAATAGTGGAGGCTGTTCCACAACGACCAGGCTGTTAGGTGTAGACAAAAGAAATCATGCATCTCAGCTCTGAAGGATACAAAGTGGGATTCTAAGTTAAGTTACTGCTGTGCTGTAAGACCAACATTTAGAATTGCGGCCTCAGCCTGAAAACAGTCGCAGCTGGGCCAGACTCAGGATGCACACTTCCAGCCAAACACACAGCTGGGAAGCAGTTTTCACCCACATCTCCATTCTGGCAGGCCCAGATCAAAAAAGGAGGTTACCCACCAGTAACATTATTGGGATTCCACCTTTCAACACTTCTAATGCAACTCCCAGCAGAATCCAGGTACTGCTTCAGTAAAGCACCCAGGGTTTGAGACTGCCAAATGGGAGGACAAGACTTCACAGGAATGAAAAAGCCATACCTGAGGCCTGCTTTGGATGAGCTATGGCTCTCTTTCTGAAGACACATCTCCTTCAGCTCCACTGCTTGCACTGGGGTCATCTTTGTTACGGGGGGCATTTCTTTCTCTACTTGATTCAGAGGGTACCTTGGTTCTGGTCTTCTCTTTTCTTTGTTGCTGCTTTTCAAGTTTTGCCAGCTACTCACAAAGCAAGGACAGTGAGGAAACACTTCTGAAATAATCTGATTTCAGAAGACAGTATTTCTAAAAAAGTGTAAATGAGCATTTGCAGCACACTTGTATCTCAATTCATAATACGTATGCATGGATCAGCAAGACAGAAAAGGAAAAACAATAAAAAACAAGAAACAAAGAAACAACCCAACAAGGCATGAATTGCCAGATATTTGGAGAGAACAGTGAACTACCATGCAACAACATGATCACTTCCATAAGTGAATTAACTGCCCTCTGCTTTCCAGAGCTTCTTTCCTGCTCACCAGAACATGCCAACATGAGAAAGAATAAAACACAAGGACCAAAAGGGGGAGCTGAATTGCACCAAGCTCCTGTTGTGTCTGGGTGGCAGTTTTGAAGTTGCCAGGTTTCTAATAACAGAAGAGCTCAAGTTCAGTCACCCAGTACACAAGAATACTTGTATTTATAATAACAGAAAAAGAGATATCCGAATCTTACTATTACACAGGACATAGAGTAACCATTTCAAATCAGCTTGGACAAAACCTTCAGCTAGCACTGCCTTGCTACCTCCCTTATTAATGTTTTCAGTGCTCCTGGTAGAGTCAAACTAAGCTGGTATTATTTTTACATCTCTCCCATTTTTCAGAGAAGCAGGCTACAGTAAGCTTTGGAGACATTACAAACTGAGAGTCACTTACATCACTATGGACACACTGTGTAGTTCATCAGTTTGGTTAATTTCCATCATTTTTTGATTTTCTCAAGTGCTTCCATGACAATTCCCCCAAGATAAATCATACTAGCCATAGAATCAATTCAGTTAAGTATGTGTGCTGATTATGAATTAGACTGGCTTGTGGAAGATGCATAAGATGTAAATCTGAGCTGTGAGTCAATATGAGCTTTGAGGACAGAACGAGGAGCCTCAAGAGGATGTACAGCATCCCCTTGTATCTTATCCCACATACACACCATCCTTACACACCTATACACATGTACTTCCAAGCTGACACAGAATATCTTTAATTAGTTTCATCAGTAATTACAGAGTACCCCCCAGCACAAAGCCAAATCAGTCAAACCTAGAAACAGTTGTTGCAGTGTGCACCCCATACTTTCACTGCAGCACCAGGCTGCTAGCAGTGAACTTTACTAACAGTGGTGCAGAAAATGATGTCTGAGTAGCATGTTGGTCTGTAATTTATCTCCATATTAAATTTCATAGTTTCTGTAAACTACATGATTACTAATTAACATAGAAATCCACTCTTCTCTAAATAGCATCCTTCTTTCTCTTATTAATGGAAAGAAAGAAAAAACAAAAAGCCTCGTGTTATGGGACACAAACCCACATACATGATATATATTTGTTCTTACATATTACAGAGAGGCAGAAAGGGCTCAATATATGACAGCTTTACCAACAGCATGCCAGTATCGATAACATGCATTACCAATTCAAACATGCCTACGCTGGCCATCTTCCAAGATGGTCTTGAGGGCAAACAGCACAACTTCTGAAATATATGCAGTTATATATGTACATATTTTCTTATGCACAAAGCGACCGTACGCTCTGCTGAAATCTCTGTAGTATTCATATTCTAGAGTAAAGAGTAAGCAACAGATTGTCTCTAAGGTTGCTACAAGAGACCTCAGAAATTACATAGCCCTGTAATTAGTTTAGCAGGACAAGGGGAAATGGCTTTAAGTTGAGGGAGGGAAGATTTAGGTTGGATGTCAGGGGGAAGTTCTTTACAGAGAGAGCGGTGAGGTGCTGGAACAGGCTGCCCAGAGAGGTTGTGGATGCCCTGTTCCTGGAGGTGTTCAAGGCCAGATTGAATGGGGCCCTGGGCAGCCTGGTCTAGTATTAAATGGGGAAGTTGGTGGCCCTGCATGTGGCAGGGGGGCTGGAGATTCGTGATCCTTGAGGTCTCTTCCAACCCTGGCCATTCTGTGATTCTGTGATAGTTTGAGAACAACGCAGTGCAGAAACACAGATGGCAAACAGAACAGCAGATGTTCAGACGTAAATCCAGATCTGTGCCCTGTAGGATCCCCAAGGCTCTAGGCATGACTACTCAATCTCTCCCTCAGAGGGCAACATCTTTAACAATAGAAGAGAAAAACAGGAGCTGTAATGTCCTAAATATTCAAGGTTAACACCCACGTGGGCATGAGCTGACCAAAGAAAAATGACACAAGTTCATTTATACGAGAAAGGAAGATCATTTGATAAGCTGTATTAATCCTTGTCTTATTATGAATGGAATTTAATGCCTTCTGTTAAACTATAACAAAGGTAAAATTCGTAAGTGTAGTTTCATCCATCTGAAACTCAAATAATACTGAAATGAATAAAGATTCGTGCACATCTCCATGTGTGTTCTCCACTGTGTCCATGCAGCACAATCAGTCTGTGCACTACAGTTCAGATTAAATATAAAGATTACTACAGAGATTAAATATACTGTTCTTTGTATTCACAAAATACAGACTCATCTTTATTATGCAGGCAATAAAAGAATTACCCATCTCTTAATTTTTTTCATTTCCTTGCTTATGGAGAGCTTGTGTAATTTAAGAGGACACTGTAAGAGCACTCTGTCAGAAAAGAGCAGACTGCACGCTGAAAAAAACCAGGGCAGCTAACTTTTGGTATTACAATGAAGAAAACTTCAGGCAGGCAACTCCGGTTCAATGTAACCAATGCTTTTCACACAAATACAGAGCATGCTGACACCCATCTCATCTGAAGAACTATCGTGAGCTACTTGTGTCTATTGAGTTGCCGGAATGCAATCAGAGAAAAGCAATCAAGCTGGTGAAGGGACCAGAAAACAGAACACACGAGGAGAGGCTGAGGGAAATGGTTAGTCTAAAGAAGAGGAGCCTGAAAGTACAGCTCATCTCTCTCTACAATTACCTGAAAGGAGGCTGCAGTGAAGATGCTGCTGGTCTCTGTTCTGAGATGATAAGTGATATGATGTGAGGAAACAACCTTAAGTTGTGCCAGCGGAGGTTTAGAGTGAATATCAGGAAGAATTTTTTTCAGGGAAAGACTGGTTAAGTAATGGAATGGGCTGTGCAGAAAGGTAGTGGAGTACCCATCCCAGGGGATATTTAAGCAATATGTGGAGATGGCACTTATGGACATGGTTTAGTGATGGATTTCATAGTGTTAAGTGACAGTAGGCTTGACAGTCTCTATTGTCCTTCCCAACCTAAATGATTCTGTGATTCTATGTGCAGTGTAGCTATGTCTGCAGAAGCAATGAAAAGTTCAACACTGTAACATAAGATCAGACATCTTCTATCTTGAGCTTTGACATGCAGTTACGCTAAAGACAAAAAATGTGCACAGCATTAGAATTAGCAGTTCTCACCCTCCTATGACAGTCTTAACTGCAGACATAGCAGGACTAACATGGAAAACAATTTCATATGTAACCCTGCAAATGCTGACCCTTTTATCTAAAAAACACCAACCAAGATCAGTTGTTCAGAAACTGCTGGCCCCCTGCCAGCAGTCAGTACCTGTGCTACCCTTCTATGGGGATCAGTATCTCGTCTGACCCAAATTCTGTATTTCTGAAGCATGGAAATGTCTTGGAATATTTCAAGTGTTTGAGATTATATTCCTTGTGACAATACACAAAATGCAAGAGTCCTCAGAGCATAGAAAGTACCTTTTCTTTCCTGTCGCTGTACCATGGATATTTTACATTGCTGAGACACTGCCAATAAACATAGACAAATTTCAAACTATGTCAACATTGCTCTGCTCTGAATGAATTGCCCAAAACACAGAATAATAGTTTTAACAGAGGTGAACGTTTACATTAGATTGACAGCTCTTAAGCTCAAAGTAGAGCTTTCTTCTCTGCCATCCAGATTTTTACACGCTATTTCCTGGGCAAATCAGCAGCAGCTCAATTCCTCTGAGAGGGGATGTGAGTGCTTATATCCACACGCAGCTGTTAATCATACATGTTAATCCACATACAGAGCTGCTGCTGCTAATTATCTACAGCTTGGGCTGATAACACTTTGTGCTAAGCTGTGAGATTTCAGACAGACAGGGAACAGGTGAGTTCCTCCTCGAGGCAAAACATCACAAAAGGATGCAGAATAGAATTTGAAGGTAAAACAAAGACAACTCCAAAGCAAGATACTTCAGCCACTATGCAATTATTTTACTTTTCAGAGGCTGCATGGAAAGCATAAAATCCTCATGTCCAAGGGAAGCTGTACTGCTTCATAACAGGAATGCTTCCCTGGGATAATGCAATGGTTTCACATATTTGTGTCACATAAAGGCAGACGTACACCTCTGCAGTGAAGGCATAACCTGGACACCCATTTCTTGCAGACAGTCTCTCTGGTTTGCTTACCTGTTTAGGGTCAACAGCAGCAGCTGGGGACTCCAGTTCTATTGTTACAGGCCCATCATTCTGGATGTGTACCTGCATGTAGGCGCCAAACTTGCCATCTGAAGAGGGAAGAAAAGGAAGTGGTGAAAGAATAGCATTTACCAAAATCCTTCCCAAATGTGCTACTGGAGGAAAGGAAGAGGAAAGACAGAGGAAATAACAGCCAACTAATAAAGTGCAAAAAAAAACCACTAAAAAAAGTCTCCATGCACTTAGCTCTGTGCTCTGATCCAGTGACAATAAGTGCACAGCTAAGTACAAAGATGTCCACATGCTCACAAAACAGAATTACCTGCAGACAATCATGGTGCTCACAGTTTAGGATAGGCAGGATAGCTCTCTCATGTAGGAGCTAAAACTGTAAAGGATGTAGCAGATAAGTCTAGGGCTCTAGTCCAGCTAGCCAGGCTGATGGTTTGAAGAAATCTTATATATGGACAAAGGACTGAAAAAAGAAAGAAGCTTTTGAAACACTTGACATTGACTACTCTGGAACAGGGAACACTGGTTTGCAGGTTGATCCCAATCTGACAGAGCAACTCCTGCGTTCCTGTCTGCAATGTAGGCTTTGTCAGAATTTGGTAACATGGAGAGATGTTCCAGAACCAACCCTGTCCTGTAAGTCTGCCAGAAGTTTGGTATTTACTTAAAAGCAAAAAGGAAGAAGGCTTGTTTGGGCCATATCCGAACAGATCTACTACTCAACTGCTTTTCCAAAGGCTGCATGCCACAAGTCACTGTGACCCAGAGAGACAAACTTTGGCAAAGCCAAGCACTGCAGCACCACAGAAGAGATTGCTGGCAGCCCAGCAGCTGAGGAAAAGGTTCCTGGGCCTTTGGCTCATTATTCATCAAAAAGATTAAAAAGCTACTGTCAAAATACAAGATGTTTGAAAGCATCTCAGAAACAGAGCATTTTCCAAGTCTCAAGAAGAAAGATGTAAATATTTAGAGATAAGTCCATTTTTATGGCCCTCTTTTTGGTGAAAGCAGTCTCATGCTTGCTTTTAACTTTACCTGCACATAAACGTCCAAATTGACCAAATCTTAGCAGAGCAAATCTTATTCCCACTGACTTCTGAGGAAAGTTAAAATTCAAAAAGCACCTGGTCTAATGAATTCAGAGCATAAGTTGTATGGTACAGACCAAAAGGGATGCATAGAAGGGGTATGAGAAGTGCATTCCTTCTCACCAACAAATGTTAACTGGAGGAATACACCAAGCCATTGGAAGGCTGACACCAGACAAGCATCTGACACATGCACCTCACTGTGCCTCATTGGAAAGCACTGCTTATAAGGCTGGGTACCTGGGATAATTATCTGTCACCAATAGTCAAGGTGAAGCTGAATACCCAAAGCTTTCTCTAGCTAGTTTTCTTCCTCCCAGTTTTTCCACTTCAGTCTGTTAATAATCCATTTAAACACACACACACACACACACACACACACACACACACACACACTTCTAGATTCTTGTCTTTTGGACAACTGTACCAAAAATTTAAGTTTAAATCTGCAAATGGCCAGAAATCAAAGAGAAAAGATTAAGAGTGGATAGAGAACAAAAGGACAGGGAAGCCAGGTGTTTTCTGGTGAAGAGAAAACTGCTGCAGAAATGGCATACATTTGAGAAAAGATAGTCTAAATGAAATGCTGTTTTCAAGTACCACATTACAGTTCCCACTATCATCATTATCACTTATCAAAATGTAAAAATAAAGTGCCAGATTGAGATGCACTGCTCACCACACAGTGGCGATGCCTTCGAGCCTGCCTAACAACTTAAGTCTCAGAAGAAATGTTCTGGGTTACTCTAGAACAAAGATATCCAGCCTTTGAGCAAGCCTGGCATCACAGCTTATTCTCACAGTCACAGCCTCTCTGGGTTACACCATCATTCCTGTTGAACAATTGCTGACATGAGAACATCTAAACGTCACGGCGTTCCGGAGGAATGCCAGGAAATAGTGTGGCTAGAGGAAGGCCAGATGGATCACCTAACATCCCCTCACTTACTGCTGCATAAAGACACCTCCTTTGCAGCACAGACAGAAACTCACCAAACAAAGCAGCGATCACAGAAAAGCACGTACAAAGTCCACTGGTCACAGCAAGGACATTACCAACCTTTTGCCCTTACCTTTAATAAGCTCTGGTTTGTAGGCTTTTCTTAGCTGCTCTAGGAAGTTGTTATAAAAACTCTCCGCCTGCTCTGTGGGCATTGCCATGTGGTAGTCAGGTTTGTTTCCCTTAAGGATGCACTGGAGAGTGAATTGGCTCACACACAACACTTCGTACTGTTTATCCATCACACTTTTGGACCAGTGCTTCCCACTTTCATCTTCAAACACTCGCAAGTTTAAGATCTTCCGAACCCTGGGAGAAGAAAAAGACTTCTGAAGTTTCTCAGTTGACCCATTAAGGATCAACAGGTGCAGGTAATACCTGCCACACTGGAAGAGATAAAAGGGATGGCAGACGCACATTAATTCTGCCACCACATAACACATTTCCCTCGTCCCTTCCTTCCTAAATCACAGACATCTCACATTAGGCAGAGCCATAGCAAGCCATTGGTTGTACTTCATGTTTTTATAGAGCACAAGACCGGGACGCAACAACTGCACATTACAGAATGTCATAAAGATGGTGCAGTAAGCAAAAAAGCTTACTCTTCACTCTCTGATTTTATATGCCACAACGTTACTTAACGTGCACAGATTCGAAAATTTTAACCCTCCTACTGCACTGTCAAATCACACTCAGCATGACTAAAATGAAATGAGATCATCTTAAATGATATTTGTTTCCAAACACGATTCACATCTCCTCCTCCGTCTCCTCCTCGCACGCTTCCCAGACCGACCCCACACCCACAACCCAGATGACAACAGCACTTTTTCATCAGGATGACAAGGAAGGCAGTCAGCAGTGCAGAACTACAGGTGGCAGCAAAGCAGGGACTGGAACTTGTCCTTAGGGCTGGTTCCTTAGGGCTGGAGGTAGCGGCTGGAAGTGACTGGCTTGAACTAAGACAACAAGGATCAGGGGACTTTCACAAATGCAGTCTTGCAACCTCACCTATGGTTCAACTCTGATACCATGAGTGTATGCATGTCACTCTCCATTCTTCTGTTTACTCTTTTAGCTTCACATCTTCAGCACCTACCAACAATTAAGTGCAACGAGTGCAAAGCAATTCAATTGCAGCCATGAGCCAGATCTTTTATGCTGCACCAGAAGTGAGGCACTTTGCATAAAACAAAGCTGCGACTTTACTATGAGCCAGCTTCAGGCTTTTCCATCATTAAGGTACAGTCAAATTATATACATATATATCCTTGCCCATTTTTGCATGCCAAAGACAAACAAAAATGAAGTAAGTGGATGGTTAAAAGTTTTGAAAGGCCTGGTACACAGAATTCATTCATCATCACTGCTGTGTTTTAATGACAAAGTTGTCTGCTGTTTCATTATTGAAGTTTCCTTTGATAGCATGTGAGACTGCTTAAGCTGATTTCTTCTTATTTGTTGTTTTCAGATATCAGGTTCCCATCTTTTCTGTGTCAGCTTTCCAAACATCCTGGTGCTGTGAGCACAGTTGTTATTGATCACACCCTCGTAATGTTCAGAAGCATCTTTCATATGACAAAGTAGTAAACAAGAGAAACAAGAGAGCCAATGTTACACACTGAAGAGACAAAAAGTAAGACAAGGCATGGGAGATCGTCTTAATAAAAGTGTCTTCAGCTTTGCTACCATTTTCTACAAGTTTCACATGTGAGATCCCTACAGACCTTTAATTCGCACCCTCACTCTTCCACATCAAGGAGACGTTTCACCCTCATTCACATTCTTGTCATTCACTGCTTGAAGGAGCACATCCTCTTTTTGAATAGGTCTTTGTCTCTACTACCTGTTTCTTCTTTGCCGTCGTAAGAATTGAGATCAGTCCCTGAACGATAAAAAGCCTGAAGAAATAGAACAACTGCCTGGAGAGCTCTCCCCTGCACGTGTTTGGTGGTAGAACTGCAATACTTTGTGGCCATAGAAAGGATGGCAGAGTCAGACCTCTAGGCTGCCCAAATTATCTTTATAGAAAAGTAACTGATGAGATTACCCAGTCTTTCGGAAGAACAGAAGTTCTCACATGCAAACTAACGTGAGAAGTCCAAGGTTTCTGATATATCTCAAACACGAAGAGTGAAGGCCTTTAGGGTAAACTCTTATAGAAAAAGGGCAGATATTCAAATAACAGAGATCAGAAATAAAAACAATGTGTTGATTCTTCCTCCTTGAGACTTTTTGTGACAAAAACCACATAGGAAATAGAAAACTGCTTTTATCAATGGGGCATAGAAAGCAAACTCTAATTAAATATTAGCTCCCCAAGTAAAATCTGAATAGGAATTAACGCAGGCTAACCCGCATATTCCAACAGAAAGAGTGCCTCATTTCCTTAGCTACAGAATAGGTATCACCAAATCAAAAATGCTCAGGCAAAAGAAGAGAAAGTGAAAGGAAATATGTGACTTACATGTGCTCCAGCTCTCTTTGCGTATCTTCTAAAGAAATGCCCAGCAGCACACAGAGGCCTCGTCCTATTGAACTTATCTGTTCACCACCCACTGGGAAAGGGGACGAAAAAAAAGTAAGACGAAATCATAGAATCACAACAAGATCAGAGCACCGTCCAGCCTCACCTTGAATGTTTCCAAGGACGGGGCATCCACCTCCTCTCTGGGCAACCCGTGCCAATGCCTCACCATTCTTACTAGAAAAGCTTCTTACTTAAATCAAACATAAATCTCCCCTTTCAGTTTGAAACCATTTCCCCTTGTCCTGTCACAACAGATCCTACTAAAGAGTCTGTTCCCTTCTTTCTTACAGCCCTCCTCTGGATATTGAAAGGCCACACTCAGGTCTCCCCGGAGCCTTATCTTCTCCAGGCTGAACAGCCCCAGCTCTCAGCCTGTCCTCGTAGGAGAGGTGTTCTATTCCTTGGCTCATTTTTGTGGCCCTCCTCTAGATACACTCTAAAAGGTCTACACCTCTCCTGTACTGAGGACTCCACATCTGGACACAGCACTCCAGGTGAGGTCTCGCAACACAGAGCAGAGGGGTGAGATCACCTTCTTTGCCCTCCTGGCCACGCTTCTTTTGATGTAGCCCACGATACAGTTGGCCTTCTAGGCTGTGGGGGCACAAGCAGGCTCATGTCCAGCTTGCCATCCACCTGTGCCCACAGGTCCCTTTCAGCAAGGCTGTGCTCTATGCATACACCCCCCACTTGTACTGATAGTGGGAGTTGCCATGACCCAGTTACAAGACCTTGGTACCTGAGTCTGTTGAACCTCATGAGGTTTACCCGGGCCCCCTGTTGGAGCCTAGGTCCATCTGGATGGCATCTCATTCCTCAGGCTTGTCAGCTACACCACACAGCTTGGCATTGTGCACAAACTTGCTGAAGGGGCACTGGATCCCACTGCTGATGTCTGATAATGATATTTCAGAGCACCGGTCCCAGCAGTATCCCCTAAGAGACACCACTTGCCACTGATCTCCTCTCCATTGACCACCACTCTCCACATTCGATATGAAGAATTTTGCCTACAATTGGACCAGCAGCACTAAGCATAGCAGCAGCACAACACTCTCCCACCTTAGGAAAAATGACCCGACTGAATCCAGTAAGCATTCTTCATTTCCGTGCCGCACCACCCCCAACAGCTGCGAGAAAGTCACGCCTGTTCGAGCCTCTTACTCCTCATCTGAAATAAG